TCCGTCCTGCTCCTCCCGTTCCTTCGAGCTCCCTTTCTCACCTCCACATCCTTGGAGCCCCTCCTGCCCCCGCTCCCTCCCTCCCTTCTCCCTCCCTCCCCTCCCTGTCCTCGATTGATCACCGGGAGGCTGCGGGGCTCGGGAGGGAGGACGAAGACGGAGTGAGGAGCAGGTTTGTGCTCGCCCTTCTCGAGGATCGACAGAATCTTTCCCAGCTGCGACTTTACCTGCTCCTCCTCTTCCACCATCCTGTCCAGCTGCTGCTGCATGCTCGAGATTTTGCTCTCCAAGTTCATGCAGCCCTTCCACCCTCTCCTCCCTCCCTCCTCCAACAGTAGTAGCAACAGTACTACGGCATGCTGAGAAGCATCCGATCATCATCGTTGCCCTGCCACCAACGTTGTGTCACTGACACTGTCTGATGCGGGTCAATCATGCAGATTGACTGCCGACTCTCAGTCTTCATGATGAAATTTTGGGCGTGGGAGGGGCTGGTCGTCAACGGAAAAGTAGTACCAAGTTCAGCACTTTGTACGGGGTCGTGCTACGGTACATCAGCAATAAGTGTTTGTAAATGCCGAATGTGAGGGAAAGTTAGTACCAAAACAGATATTCTCATACTCTTTACAATGAAGTATTATTATCCAAATAATTCATTGTTTGTTCTGACCTAACTTTGTTGTATCATCCCACATGCTTGCAACACGAGGGCTCGTGCTGGCGCTCGTGCTCGTGTTCTCGCCAGAGCATGTGTGCAGCTACTTCCAATCTTTCTCGACATGCTACCACAGGCAGAGCTTGCAGCTGAGGTCTCATCGCAGACAGACCTCGCCGCAAATGCTGGCGCGGCCAGGAATCATGCGGCAGGGCAAGGCTGACTGCCAGTACATCGATTCTCCCGCCAAGCTCCCGGGGAACATGCAATCATATTTCGAAGGCTCAATCTTCAGCAGATGTGCAAGTATAGGCTTTCATCGACGGGAGAAACTCCCAGCGGACGAGGAGACGAGAAGTAAGGTCGAAGAGAGTGGCATTCTCACTCAAGAATTCGCTGAAAGATTTAACCAAGTGGTGTTCGCCGCGTGCGAAGAGTATTACAAAGAGTGCGCCACAAGACAGATTGATCCTTTGACGATCAGTCGGATGGAAGCTAAAGATATTGACCCCGCAACAGTATCGGAATATCAAGCGGACATGTGCTTGACCTTTGACAAGGACACCGATCTTCAAACCATCTTCAAGGACGTGGTCGTCAACCCCGCTCAGGATGTAAGGATATTCGGAAAGCATGGAGTCTCTTATGGGGACCTCCAAGTCATGAAGGAGGAGTACATCTGCTTTGAAATCACGGAGGCGCCTGGCAAAATCTTTGAAAAGCTGTTCCAGGTCAATCGGCTGTACAATGTATTGAAGGGTGAGATGATTGGCGAAGACTCCAAGATTGCGGCGATAGGTTTGTTGACGAATGGCAACAGAGAGGACTTTGAGGTGGTCTGTGGATGTTTGAGCAGGTTCTTCTCTCTGGCCTCTGATCACCATGAATTGACGTCGTTTGTGGATCCTGGAAGCATACCGTTTGTTTTGATTTACACTCCGTACAGGAATATTTATGGTGCTGTGCAAGATCTGAAGGAGGATATGGACAGGAGGTTCAATGAACTGCAGAGCGACGTATCCGAGTTGAAGAGCGACGTATCTGCTTTGAATGTTACGATGGGTCTCGTACTGGAGCTTCTCAACAAAAAGCTCACGTGACTCTTTGTCGAACCAGACGCAGGCGTCAATAGAATGTCGCTGTTGCGTCTTTATTTTTAACACCTCATCATAGAGACCGGAAGGTGAATGAAATACTAAAACGTAGAATGATTGACGGGACTAGTCTGCTCAAATACCGATGCTCGTTGGCTCTCAAGCAGTTGAAAGACGTGTAAGGAGAAATGCGCCTACTCGCCATTTTCATTTCGGTGGTGACGGCGAGAGCGAGGGAACAGCAACAAGGAATGCGTGAAGATCCGCTCTCACTTCCATCCTCACTGTGAGGCTGCATGGCGCGGCGCAAGTGAACTGCCGTCCTCCGTCATCACAGTTCTGTTGTTGATCCTCTACTGACTGGCACGCCGGGCTCGTCGTCCCACTATCCTCACACAGGCCTTGAGGCTCCTATGTCTCGAGGGTTACCTACAGGTAACCCTCCTGCTGCTGCTGATGCTGCTCCTGCTCCTGCTGCTGCTGCTCCTGCTGCTGCTGCTGCTGCTCCTTCTGCTGCTGCTGCTGCTGCTCCTGCTGCTGCTGCTGCTCCTCCTGCTCCTCCTGCTGCTCCTGCTCCTCCTGCTCCTCTTCACTCTTCTTGTCTGCTGCTCTGCCTGTGCTGCGTCTGACGGGTGGGCAGCGGCTGCTGTATCGTCGAGGAGCGTCGGGGCTGCGGGGGCTGGAGCGAGCGATGTCGCACATCTCGAGGGGAACGAGGCAACCGGACCGGGAGGATCTCAACACGGTGATGGCCTACTGCGGGATCAGCATGGGAGCCGACGAGCTCGAGGAAATCTTTCGCAGACACGAGGACGGAGGTCACGTGCTGTGCGAGGACCTCAGCCGCAGCCTCCGCCCTCCTCTGACCCACCGCCAACATGAAGTGAGACCC